GTGTCGATCGGGAGCATGGGATGGGATCTGAAAGTTTTTCGAATAAAGAAAAATGGCATATGGTGAAGTTGCAGATGAAGGATTATTGCTAGCTTGAGAATTTTGACTAGACTTACTGGAAGATGTTCAGATCGGGATAATCGTCTGCTAGATTGTGGTCAAGGAAGGAACATCGGAGTACTTGACAAATTGATTACTCTGCGCGTATATACATCGCGATATTTGATATGTTGAACGCGCTCACAGTATAATCACTGTTCACACCTAGTCAACGCAGTGCGACCTGAGAAAGCAGGTGATGTAGATACTCGCAAAGTAGAACCAAGAGCCATTCAATGGCGAGTGAACTGGCGGTTAAGAGGTCGATGCTCGAGCCTGAGGTGAGAGTAAGTTGGAAAGAATTAACGACAGTATGACAATTTAATTTTAAAAAATATTTTGCTTGGGATAGGAAGGACGTACTCACAGCCTTCTGTTTGAGTAGCGCTTTCGGTATTACATTCTGTGGAAATAGGACGACGACGAGGTTGAGAGTAGCAGCGTCGTGAACCGCATATTATGAGCTCATTTCCCAGCCTGTTCTCTTCTAGAGACTAGCAGAGAGTCAATGTCGTTCATGCAGTTGGGGTCGATATCGATGCCTAGATTCCCAGGATTGCTATATGTAAATCTCAGATAGATCACCTTTACGAAGGGAATTTCATTGAACTTACAAAAACCAAATTATTATTGACGGCAGGACAGAATCGGGATGATAATTAGTTATAAAGTAGGATCATCAAAACCAATCAGAGTCGTCGCTAGTGCTGCTCTCCTTCTCTCGTACAGCCTCCCGCGCCTCTACAACATATTTCTCCATCAAACCAACTGCCTTCTTGAGGTTCTGGCTGAACTTTGCAGATATCGGCACCACATCCAGATATCTTGTATCACCCTGCTCATCCAACACCGACATTTCCCTCGCAACAAACTCTTCTAATCGTGTCAGTTTAAGCTTTGCCTCTTCAACTGAAGCAGGATCACCATCTCCCGCTAGTAGATCTGCCTTGTTCGCTATAACCATTCGAGCCTTTCTGCTCATTCCGGGGAGATACTGCTCGAGCTCATCTCGTAGAACAGCAATATCATCCCAAGGAGCCGGAACGGAAAAGTCCACTACGTAAACTAGTGCGAGAGAACGTTCCATGGACCGGAAGGAATGAATGCCCTAGACCGACATTTTCAGACGCTTTCGATATCAGACCTGGATTATCAGCGATAGTAAACCTAAAGCGTTCTACAATGTCGAAAGAATGTCCATGTCCGTATCCGCGATCGAGGGAATCAGAATTGTTTTGCTGGTTTCGCGTTAAAGCATCTGCGAACGCGCCTTCTTCCATCTGAGCTTTAATCTGCGCTTCTTCGATTAATGTCTCGTCGTGCACCATACCCTCGGAGAGACCGCCCTCGAACGAACCGTCTTGTGCTACACGCACAACACCGACGACAGGGTTGAGTGTGGTAAATGCATAACCAGCGACTTCTGTTTTGGCTCGACCACCGGTGAGAGCACGTAGGAGGGTGCTTTTACCTGCATTTGGTACACCGACGAGACCAATATCGGCCAAGAGCTTGAGTTCCAAGGAGAGAGTAACTCTGTCGCCTTCGTGTCCGCGTGTAGCGAATTTGGGGGAACGGTTCTCCTGGGTCAGGAAATGGGGGTTGCCCACTCCACCTTGACCTCCCAAAGCAACGAGATGACCTAATCCATCCTTTCGCGGAAGACCAAGTGGGCTATTAGGATCGTCCTCGAGTTCCACTTCCTTGTCCAAGTCAAGATATATCGGTTCCTCGATCTCTCTTTTCCGCCTCGCATATCTTCTTTCTCTCTCCTGCTTGTAAAGCACTTGTTCCGCCTCTATAAACGAGTCTCTTTCCACATTGGATTCACTGTATCTCGGATAATGAACCCATCGGTTATCTCTCATCTTCGCCTGCTTTTCCGCTGGTTCGAGGCCCTCTAGTGACTCTGCTTCCGCATCCCATTCGTCTTTTGCTGTCCGAGGATCATCTCGAGGAAGTTGTCGTACTATTGTTCCTACTGGAACTCGAATGACTAACGGAGAACCGTTTTTGCCATTTTGCCACGTCCCTTGACCGTTTCCGCCGTTTTCACCTCGGACGCGTTTGGCGACAGAATTAAGGGTGGTGAGTTCTGTAGTGGGTTGAATGTATACATCGCCTCCGCGTCCACCATTTCCTCCAGAAGGAGGCCCAAATGGGAGGAATTTTTCGCGGTGAAAGGCCGCGCAACCGTCTCCGCCTTTGCCTAACAGAAATAATGTTTATTTCGATGAATCTTGCAGAGTTAAGGGCCCTGACCTCCTCGTATATTGATTATTAGATGGTCTAGAAAATTTTGGCCCTAAATTATTTAGTATATTATGGATAAAATGAAATTGGAGAGGAAACTCACTCCCTGCCGACGCTTCCACTCCGTTTTCCTTCTTCTCCGGTATGTCTCTGCTTCATTCGCGAGAGCTTCATTGTCGCGATATATAGCTCGGTTATCAAGAGATACCGCACATTTTGAAAAGTGAGAGACGCGACGAGGACAAAATTTGAGAGTGAAATGGGTGAGATGAAGCATCTGGAAAAATTGGCGCCGAAAAAAATAGTATTTCTCCTGTCTTTCATTGGTCACCAACCAGTCGAACCTGCAATCTCCAACCTCCCGATTCCGCAAGGCGACTCAGACGCCATTTAGCCAAGTGACGGCTGGTTTAGAAACGTATTATTTGCTTAAAGCTGCGCAGGGAAAAAGCGGCTGACAGTTACTCACGCAGCCAGCAATTCTGCGCGCGCGAAGCAAGCTTTGTATCTCCACTACGGGCCTCCGATGTGCCTTTCAACGCCCTTTTCACTTTCTGCGGGGCTCCGGTTTCTACGCTTTGACTATTCTGACTCGAGCAGGTACATCCCAATTGACTCGAGTGATAGAGATCCGTACCAAACTCGTAATTCTAGGAACTTGGCTGACTGAGAGATCTCGAAACTAGGCAGGCAGTATGTTTGGTATTTTATTCAAACTTTGAAGTGACTCGACGTTTAAATAAACCCCGTCGTGTTGTTTTCGCGTCATGTCCTCCACACAAGAATCTACACTCCCAGAGTATAGCGATCCGTCGCCGCCTCCATTCTACTCTGTTCAGGTCAGCGAGGGGGAAGAGCTCCTCGAGTCAACAGGTGCTCCTCCGTCAGCTAGGCGCGCCGGTTCGTACACGCAAACCTGGGACTGTGGACTCGAAGTGATCTTGTCTGAACAGAACCAGGATATCGTTAACGGGGCTAGTACTCCCGTCTATAATCAGCAGGGGCTTATCACCGGGAAGATATTATTTCGGCAAAACGCTGAGAGCGTTCTACAAGTCTTCTTGAAAGGCAAATTCCTTTTACTTGTTCCGATGTCCAAAGTGGACTGATTTTTTCAACGTTGCAGATAGAAGGAATACTCAAGCGTAGGGTCTCTGGCAGAGGTGCCTCAGCGAGCAAGGCTGTCAAAATCCTTGGGGAATGTTACGAGCTTTGGGCGAAACCACGAGGCCAAGCTGCAACCACATCCGAATCTATGAACCCTCCTCATGAACTAGAGTTTTCGTCGGTACTTCCAGCAACATTCCAAGATGATGAAGGAAACTGTGACATTCCTCTCCCTCCGTCCCATGAGATATCGTTAACAGGGATTCCAGGATTATACTCTCAATGTAAGCCGCTAATTAGTCTTCGTCCGTTCTTATATATGTATCTCCTTCACAGGTACCTATGCAATCAAAGTTCTCGTGGTGACCCGCGGTTCATTATGGAACAAAACGAAAACGTGAGATCATTAGTTTCGTCACAACTAGTGCTCCAATACTGACTGGATTATCTAGATATACCATCCCATTCAAATACCTTCCTCGAAATCGTCCCGCAGTCCCTTTGGTCACAAACGATGGTATCCGACCTGGATGTCCTTTATTCCATGCAACGATCAAAAGTGCGCCAGAGTTGTGGTTTGAAACGAATTCCGTTTTGCAGCCTAAACCTGCGTCGGGATTGAGTTCTATAGAAGCTCAAGTAAGCACTTGCCAAGGTTTACACCTGAGAAAAACAATCCTCATCTCGCCGTGTAGTTTTTCATACCCTCTGGACGAATATTCGAGCTCGGGGATGAAATCCCATTCCACATCCAACTCACTGGAACAGCATTCTCCCTACAAGCGCTGTATGCGCGTCTTCGATTAGAACACGTCGAAGATAGTAGTGATTCTGGAAGCCGTTCATCTTCTCCAACATTTACTATCCATTCGACAACATCCTCCTCAGGCGGTACATCGTCGAGTTCCAACAGCCGCGGTAAAAACAAATCCAAAGACAACTCGGACAATAACTTTATCTCACTATCGGTAGCCCTCCATCGCCAAGTGCGTGTGGAGGTGAAGGAGCAGGTGGTGTGGAAGAGTTATATCATTGGCGAAGGACGTATACATCCCATTCCTCCGCCATTTGACTCGGAATTTTATGACGGAACCTTCGTGCCATCGCCTGCAGATGCGGATGATCCAGAGAGGATTGAGAATCTCGATGGAGCAGGTGAGATTCGATGTCGTTCGGATGTGGATATTGGGCATTTTGAGATGAAGGGAAAGGTGCAAGTTAAGGTATGTAAGCTTGAGTCTTTGTCGAACCACGGGCTAACTTCCTGGGACAATTTGTAGGATTTTTTAGTTTTACAATTTGGTACAAACTCTTCAATAGGCAACAAGTCGCCATCGGAGATCAGTTCGCGGTTCTTTCCTTTGAAAATAGCGGTTCCGGTTTGGCTGGTTACGGATAGCTGGAGTGAACATCCGATGATGCTATGATTTTGCCTATACCTAAACAGTAGACGTTCTGTTTATATTTTATTAATGTTGTAATGTAACTAGACTTTGTACAACGTCAAAAAAGTATGAAACTTCATTTCGATCTCACAGTATTGACCACCGCAGGGGTCGAACCTGCAATCTCCTGATACTAACTTATCAGAGCATGATGATCGTAGTCAGACGCGATGCCATTTCGCCAGGCGGCCATGTGTCAATACAAGATAGACCGTTCATCATACTTCAGCAGTGATTTGATTCTCCAGATTCTCGGTAGCCCCGGCCGTCTTAGCCATTGCTTACATCACAGCATTCTACGCAGCTTAGACGCAGATCCTCTGCCGTCTTTATTCGATCTGACTCTTATGAACTACTTCTGCATATCATCCTCGACGCTTTGGTTTGTGGGAATTTGACGTAAGTGCCGAAAGCGCCGATGAACTTATTAGCGCCCAAAAGCGCCTGTCCGGCCATTCTCGTTAGTCCTGACTTCCATCTACGCGCTGATATCTATTACTGGCCAGAGAGACTGGACCATTTTACTTCTTGCTCCGGGAGGTTCAAGTTTCGCCGGACGTGTCATTTGTGCTCCCTCTCCGCCTGGAATCCAAGAAACTAGAATTCAGTCATTATTCAACTATTAATTTAGCTGCAATGGCTACATCGAAGCCATTCACTGCATATCCTCTCCCGGCACCGCTACGATCATCGCTATTCAAAAACCCAACAGATGGAGTCGTTCCGCCAATCGATGACCTCGAAGCTTTGCATGCAGAACTGAAGAATCTCAAGGCAAGGACTATGGAGAAGGCAAGGAGGACGGGAGAGGATATGAAGGTTTTAGAGGAAGGAATGCGACGGATGAAGGAAAGGGCCAAGAAAGGAAAGGAAAGAGAGGGAAAAGAAAAGATCAAGAGAGAACGCGACTGTTAGTTTTCAACTTGCTTCTTTTCGGAATCAACATTGACCATTTGGCTTTGATCTTCCATTGTCCTCCTAATCCGACACGCTGGTCCACACTCTTGCATTGATTTAAAATGGCCATATTCTCGCTGGCTCTTCTCGTGACATGCCTGTGTGCACTCGCTCCCAATCTCTAGTTTCAGCGACGCCTCTCCCCGAGTTTGCAGACGACGGGAAGCCTCTGGCATTAAGTTTATCTTCTTCTGTGGCTTCCGGCTCCAGTAAACCTCGTCTCTCTTCGCTTCCTCTCAATTCCGGCGCGCCTTCATCCGCACGGTCGTCTGTCGATCCTCGCGGAGAAGAAAAAGACAAGAAGAAGAAGAAGAAGCGCAAGAGAGAGTTGCTGGAGGAGAGCGATGTTGAAATGGGTATGTCTCGATCTATGGATCTTAATATAAATCTCATTACGCTTAGACGCTTCTCCGCGGGTTCATAAAGGTACTCCTCCGGTAGCTCACATTGCGCACTCTATCGCCTCCTCCTCTTCCGTTTCTGTCCCTCCGAAGGCGTCCAAATCAATATCGTCTTCATCTCATGGCAAGGTTCGCATCGAGCGCTTCTATCTAATCTTCTCAACTAACGGTTATTCCCTATAGAATTCATCTCTATCACATACAGGCATAGATTTCGCCGTCCCTCAGCCACTTTTGATACTCCCTCCCAGACCACCAATACAACCGCCACCGATACCTGCACCTTCTCACCCAACTCTTGTCTCTGAGGATTTCAGCAAGATTCCCAAAGCTCCTACCGCCCAAGTGGCAATCACGACATTTTATTCTAGCGTTGAGCCCTACCTGAGGCCTATAAAGGAAGAGGATATAGGGTTCTTGGAATGGGGAGGCGATGAAATAGAGCCTTATGTGATGCCCAAGTTGGGGAAACATTATCTCGAGGTGTGGGAGGAACAGGATCGACTAGGCCTGCCCCCTTCGATGAACACTACAACAACCATTGCAGGCAGCAGTGCCGTTCCTAATCCTTCAGCAGTAGCACCTAACCCTTCCTTCGATCCCTCCACGCTCGCCGAACCTGATACTCAATCCGAGCTTCTCGGACACGGTCCTCTTACCGAACGCCTCATCGCAGCACTCCTACCTATGCCAGACAGCCACTTGACATGGAAGGGAGTCAAAGCCGCAGAAGACGCGATGGAAGGACGACCTGGTGGCAGTGGCGCCGCGGCCAGTAGGCGGGAAAAGCTCACTGTGGCGGACCTGGAGAAACGTATTGGGGATACGATGCGTTCGTATGGCTTGTTACCAATTGGTGCCCAGCAGGTCGACTATGACAATAAAATCGACGATCCCATCGCTACTGCTCTGCGTATAAACCAGGCCGAACTACGGCGTGTCTCCACTACGAATAGGTTACGAAGAGAGCGCTATGCGGCAGTAGCGAAAGATAGACTCGCTTACGGCGAATATATGGAGTTGAGGGACTCAGGTGGATAGGAATATTGTCAACCTGTATAACAAGCTTCAGAGAGTGCAGAAGGCGCAGAAGGAAGCGCCAAAACTTGGGAGGAAGAAGAAACTCAAGACTGAAGATGGTGTGGTGAACGGTCTTAATGGCTCTGGTAGTTTCTCTGCTTCCGCGTCTGCGAACGGGGACGCAGTACCGCTGCCGCCTCCACCAATTCCACCGTGTCCAGCAGCTCTCGGTCTCGGTCCTGACGAGGATAATCAACTGGTAGTGAGCGATGCGCTCAAGCACTTGGTGCAGACACGGAAAGCTTGGGTGAAAGTGGGTGATATGGTTTTGGACGACAAGGAGGGTCCTTTGGAGCCGATGGATATCGATATGGAGGAGCCTGATTCAGATGATTCCGACTCTGAAGGGTTGCTTAGACCTAACGTGAACTGGAGAGGCGAAGTGAGCGAACGGCCGCGGCGTGGGCGGATCCTTGGTTTCCCTAAAGAAAGCATATTCAAAGGGCTGGAGGAAGAGGTGGAGGAGATAATGCGGGAATGGGAGCAGCAAGCGGGATTGCAGGAACAGGCAAAGGCATCGACATCGACGACGGCAAATTCGAATTCGAATTCAGGGACAACGACAGCCAGTGCGCAGCCTGCGCCTACAGCGTCTTCGTCCTCTGGAAGCGGGTTGAAAATCCATCTCAATGGGCATGTCCAGGCGACGTATGGCAAAGGCAAAGGAAAGGCGAGGGATGATCAGATGGATGTTGGTTAATCTCTTTCTTCAGATGTTGGTTATTCATGGGGAGGGAGGGAATCGTCGCTTGTGCTTGCTTGGTATGTTAATACCCCGATGTCATATACTATTATTGCATACTCTTATATCGATTGAAGCGAAATGCTCAGAACTTTCGAACATTATAGCGTGTACGCCTTAACAGTCAGGTTTATCCTCAGAGTTGGGAAGGTGAGACTCGGAACCAAGAGTTTGAGGAAGTCGGGTGCTTTTGGGTGTTCTACACCGCAAGTTGGGCGCTCTAAAGATTTTAATGCCGCCGATACAGCTATGATAGACTCGGTCGATGAGGAGAACTGGACCAATTTGAGGTTGTGGTACGCATATTTCGATGGGTCGATTCAAAACGCCTTTCGCGTAGCTCTAGCTGTAATAAATGGCATGGCAAAAGCGCTTCATTTGCTTGATTCAAAATCATTGCAACTTGAAATGCTGAAACGCCTCTAGAGGCATCAAAAAGAATCACGACTGCGGCCTTCTGATTCTGGATGAGCTTGGATAGTCATAGTGCAAAGATGACTCGTATGCGATTAGTATCCTTCTAGCCTCGTGTATGGTAGAAAGCATTTTGCAATTGGGTAACAATCCGACCTAGCATACTCAGTTGATTCCTCGTGCATTCGCCAGGAATATACATGCACATTCCCTGTGCTCAATCTCCAGTTCAAATCGGCTGGCTCCTCCCCAGAACCATTCATCCAATCCGTCTTTGCCTCCTCGTACTTGTCTTTATCGAAATCCATACAACCACGGAATTGACGATCTGGAGAAGATACCAAATAGTCGCACACGGAAAGCAGTTGGACAAAAGGGTTGGAAACTTCCAAGCCACCTTGAGAGATTCGGAAGAAACATCACCCTGCTGGAATATCTTTGAGTCCGAAGCGAGCTTCGACCATGGATCGGAGTTTTTCTACTACTGAGCCAGCGTGTTCTTCGAATATAGCCCGTTGGATGGTCTCAACAATCTCATCGAGGTGGCCTTGATCAAGGCAATGCGCCGGCTGGCCAAAATTTCGGTGAAAGAATTCCATATATTCCAGCTAGGAAAGTACAATTATGGACAATTAGTGTGAAAGTTCTTTCCCTCGCTTTGCACGCTAAAGCAGCTCTGAGATGCTTTGCGAGAGGTTTCCGATCGAATCCGGATGTACTCATAGGCATCAATAAGAAAGTCCCGGTGCTTATTTTTTATTCTACTATGTACAGGATTCGCGAGTTACTTACTTATGAAAATCATAGAAAACTGTGTAGCAGTGTAAACAACGCACAAGCAATAGTACTATCTAAACACTTTGTCACCTTCAAACTGTCGCTTTGCAGGTGATTAGTACAACGTTCAATCGAGGATTACAGTATGCGCTCTGGTTCTACAAGAAATCTTCCATCCTTCCACTCGTCAGTTGTATCCCACACGCGGACTGTGCCATGGTGCGAGACCGAAATAACTCGTTTAGAATCCGGGGAGAGTCCCACAGAATGGACAGGTGCATTAAGATCTCGAGAAATATTGAGTACTTTCCCCGTTTCTGCATCCCATGTGCGAACTGTCCCATCATCCGAGCCTGAGGCAATTTTGCGACTGTCTCCAGAGTATACCACAGAGCAGACCCAGTCTTTATGTCCTTCAAGGACATGAATTATCTTGCCCGTGAATATATCCCACATGCGCATCGTTCTGTCCGATGAGCCTGAGATAATTTGTGTGCCATTCGGAGAGAATGCCACATGCGACACTGAATCGGTATGCCCTTCAAGGACATGCTGCACTTGTCCTGTTTCCGCATCCCACACGCAAACTGTAGCGTGTAATGAGCCCGAGATGATTTTTTTGCTATCTGGGGAGTATGCAACTGCCAAGATCGCGCCTGTATGTCCTTCAAGTTGAAGGACATGAAGTATCTGCTTCGATTCCACATCCCACACACGAACTGTAGCATCATCTGAGCCCGAGATAATTCGTGTGTTAGTAGGATCGAAAGCAACACAGAAGACCTCGCCTTCATGTCCTTGAAGGACATGAAGTTTCTGG